AGGGACTGTATTGCCATCTCTGTATGTCCCTGATGTCTGGCTTATGGCCAGTTAATTTGTAGGCGCTTAATATGTGTTCTTCTGAATGAATGCTTGGATTTATTTGCTTCTTATGAATGGAAGTGAGTGAGCCTATTCAGGGAGGAAATGTGTTATACGCCAGCAACTAATACCTTGTGAGTGCAAGGAAATGCAGACTGTGATTGGGAGCCTCATTTTGGGAACTGTCAGTGCTGTTGGGAAGCACAGTGGAGGTGATAGGCCGAGCATAGTCTGCAGAAAGGAAGGAAGCAAGGTGTTACAGAATCTTTAGGAGCCGGTAGGTTATGTTGCCACTTCAGAGCAGTACAGGCAACTCTTTGGCAGGTGATATATTATATGCTGCTATGAAACTTGATATGCCTATTTTCCTCAAAAAAATCATAAAAAAGATATGTTCCATGAAGCTTTTGTGATCATTACACTTAAAGTATACATCAAATTGTACTTCTTTTTAAGATATACTGTTTATTTTTATATGCTCTTATCTAAATACATTTGTAATAGTTTTCCTCTAAATCATGAGTTTCTTCTCAGCTATGAATTATCTCGCTTTTTCTGAAGGGTAGATAATTTTTGTTTTCGGTATTCTTATCAGAATTCTGATTATAACAAAGTAATTATGTTCTAGAATGGGCCTGTAAGAAGTAATTTCTGTTAGTCATGTTTTAGCTGTACTTAACATTCTATTTAGCATGTTTTTAAGAAAATTGTATTAAGCATAGAGATACATACATTAACAGCATAGAATGTGTTAGTACTATTTTTTTTTCTTCTTCTCACTCAAATACTTTTTATTTTCATAGTGGTAGTTGTTACAATTATTCAGCTGACAAATGTTTGTTGGATACCTTGACCAGTGTTGAGTACTATTAAAAGAATATGAAATAGTACTTCTGTGTTAACACCAGTAGGGCAACACCAGATACCAACCTCCTGTAATTTTTGTTTCAACTTCCTGTCAGTTCTGAACAAACCTTCTTCATCGTGCAGAAGTACAAAGGGGTGTTTCTCTCCTTATCTGCCATTAAAGAAAATGGTTGCATTCTCATGTAGAAATAAACGGTGACATTTAAAATGTGTCAGAATTGCATTAGATGCTATTTACTCTAGGCTGAGCTTAACCTAAACTCTTTTATCAGTCTCTAGCCCACCAGATTTAATTACTAAAAGACCTTACAAGATTCCTTCATTTATTCCTTCAACAAATAATTGTCTACCCTGTGTCAGTGTTCATATATTCATCCCTTTAAATGAAAGCATTTGTTGAGCATCTTATTTCCAGTGCACTGTGCTTAGCGTACCAGGAGAGGAAAAGCTCTCCCTACTTTCTAGGAGGTCATAGTCTAGTAGAAGAAATAACATAAGCAGATAATTATGATGAGGGGCAGCTAATTGAGACAGAGGTCATGGTAGAATTGCCAGTGAGTTGAGACAAAAGGAATAAGGCCAATTTTACCAGGTAAAAGACTAGAAAACCTGAAAAAGAAAGTGCCAAGCACAGAGTAGCTTCTCCAAAGGCACAGATAGATGAGAGCACACTGCATGCGGGAGCTGCAGGTGCTCTGACATGGCTGGCACATGGGGTTTAAGGAACAGGTGGCACAGGGCAGGGATGCAGGGCTTTGGAGACACTAAGGAGCTTGGTGACAGGACGTGGGGCACCTGAGAAACTGAAGCTGGAGTGTGAGCAGATGAAATAAACACCATTCAGAAACCACCTTGACAGCTTTGGTGGTGTGCGTTGAGGGAAGCAAGACTGTAAGCAAAGTTGCGATGCAGCCAGAGCCCTCCAGGGAGAGGGAATGCAGGTTGGTCCAGGGTAGTGGTGCTCAGCGAAAGGAAACTGGTTGCAGTGAATCAAAGATTCAAAAAAGCCTTGGGGAGCAAACAGTGATGGGTGGGGGACAGCACAGAAGTGTGATCCCTAAGAAGACCCGCATTGCCACCTCTAGCATTATCTTTGCAAGTAACTGCCCTGCTGAACTCATTTCATAATTTGGTAATTTAGAGAATGAGTTATTTTTTAAAGTTTCTACCAAAATTCATAAAATTCAATGTTGCTATAGAATACCTTTAATCTTTCACCAAATCATTCTCTGACCCTTGAATTTGTTTCTGTCAACCGCTTAAGTCCTCAATTACCCACACTCACTTTTCATCACTATCCGGGAGATTGTGTATGACCCCTTTTGTTGTCTCACTGTGCTGATGTGTACTGACTACGCTGGTAGCATGGCCCACTATTAACCAGCATTATCAGTTTTTCATTGAAGTCTGGTTAACTATTCATGCAACCATTTTTTATGATGGGAAAAAAACAAAATAAAAAGGAAAGGACCACATCTTTATTATTATTGATTAGGTTAAGTGAATTAATATGCATCTTACTAGAAGTAATATGGGGCTGTTTAAGGGGATTGTGTCTTAGGCCATTCAGGCTGCTGTAACAAAATGCCCTAGACTAGATAATTTATAAACAACAGGAATGTACTGCTCACAATTCTAGAAACTGGGAAGGTCAGAGATTTGGTGTGGAGAGGTCTCGTTCCTCATAGATGGTGTTTTCTATGTGTTCTCACCTGGCGGGTGGAGTGGACAAGCTCCACCAGACTTCTTTTATCCCATTTATGAGGGCAGTTTCCTTATGGCCTGTTCACCCCGAAAAGACCCCACCTCTTAACACTATCATGTTGGATATTAAATTTCAACATATGAATTTGGGAAAGTGGATGTAAACATTTGGACTATAGCAAATGGGAATGCAAGTGGGAGAAATGGTTGCAATAGAGGGATAGAAGAGCAAGTGAAATGTAATGAAATTTTACCAGTGTTCAAGATTTTTAAAGATTTTATGAGATCAGTAATAAGCCTATAAGAAAAAGACAGAATGCTAACACTGGTTGTGTTAGGGTGTAGATTTAAGGACACATTTTCTGAACTTTTCTGTTTGCCCCTACTTTTTTGTAGGCAGTGGTTATAATGCTCTTATAATAAAATGTAATTGTTTTAAATGGCAATATAATTTTGTATTGCTATTTGGAAACAATGGTATGGGAGTATGACACATTTTGTAGAGAAGCATTGTATTGTTTGAAGTCTGTTGAAAATATATTTCTCCAGAAATACAGATTTTCACTTTACCTAATCTCTACCTCTCCCAATCCATAGAAGATATAGATTCATTAAGAAATAAGAGGAGGATTTTGTCCACTTTTAAGATCCTGAAATTCTTGAATACCATTCCCCTTTTAATAAGCTCTTTTAACATTAAAAAAAAAAAAAAAGAACAGAGTGCTAACTCAAGCCAGATAAATGAATGCTTTCCCTCTCATTCTGTTAGATTGTGGGTTCCACATTCTGGTATCCAGAATGCTGACCAATCACTCTTGTCTTCTCTTATGCATGGGGAGCTTTCTTCACCCAGGCTCCCTGCTCTTCGGACACTGGAGCAGCACCTCTTCTTGGGGTTTATCTCATTTAAATCTTATACTGGTTTTGTGAGAGGGAAGGTATTATTCCCATTCAGAGTCTGTCTTTTACCAATTTCTTATTTCGTTTCTTGAAATATCTTTGCACTCTGTGTGCATTCTCTCCCTTTTCCTCATTTTGCATGTTTTTGTTTGTTTTTTGCATTGGGATCTCATTCTGTTACCCAGGCTGGAATGCAGTGGCATGATCACAGCTACTATACCCTTGACCTGCTGTACTCAGGTGATCCTTCCATCTCAGCCTTCTGAGTAGCTAGAACAACAGGCTTGCACTACCACGTCTGGCTAATTTTTTGATTTATTGTAGAGCTGGGTGCTCGCCAAGTTGCCCTGGCTGGTTTTGAACCCCTGGGCTCAGGCAATCCTCTCGCCTCAGCCTCCCAAAGTGCTGGGATTACAGGCATGAGCCACTGCACCCAATCAAGTTGATTTTAGTTTTTGAGCTATTGCTTTCATGACTACAACAGACACAGAGAATTTGTGAGCAATAAGAAAAACTTCAATCATTAGGATTTTTCAGTTAATGCTAATTTTAAATGCAGAGATAAACTTAAATGGAAAAGATAGGACAATAATGAACATAGATTCTTTTTTGTTTTATTCAAAGAAAGTAAACAATTTAACTGCATTCAGCAAAATATGTTTTAAATGTCCATGGCAAAGTAACATACAAACTTCTTTTTCTCCATTTGACCAGTATATTATAGTGAATGGACAGACTTTTTTTGCCTGCATAGGGTTGGAGTATGGAACTACCTAAAGAAGTTCTCTAAACCATCTCTTTCTTGTTGGCACTTGTTCCTTCAGTGTGTGGACCTGAGCTGTAACGAGCTGAGCGAAGTCACTTTACCAGAAAACCTGCCCCCCAAACTGCAAGAGCTAGACCTGACTGGAAACCCCCGCCTTGCCCTCGATCATAAAACCCTGGAACTACTAAAGTAAGTGTTTTGTAAGGCACTGTAGTCCATCTTTGTTCACTGGCAATGGGATTTATAATTGTAAAAACATGAAGTAGAAAAGGTGAAGCATCTTTTGAGCTATTAACTATGTCGACCCACATGATGGGATATAGAAGACACAGGGAGAGCAAAGGACAACCAAGATGTAACTTAAATCTCTGTAGTTACTGATGACATGGTTCTGACATCCAATTCAAGTGTTAAGAAAGGATTTTGAAAGAGATGGATAATGTAGGGAAAATTAACAATCTGGTACTAAAATCTAGATTATTTAAACAAAACTGGGAAGATGGAATAGTTAGATCCTACTAAAATTGTCTTTGTGTTCATTGGGAAAGAGATCATTGATAATATTTCAGCCTTGATAAAGAATTACAGGTTGAAGTTTGCTATGTAAGACAGTAGACGTTACCTCTGTAGAAAAGATGTCTTTATAAGAATGTTTATCACAGAACTCTAAATGTCTACTAGTAGAATCAAATAAATTATACTCCACAATTAAATATTATGCAGTCATTAAAAACTGATATAGAGCTAATTATTAACTCAATCTCTATGATATAGTACTGAGTGAAAGACAATTTACAAAAAGTTATGTACAGTATAACCTCATTTTTTTGCAAAATAAATTCATGTGTATTATGTGTATGTGCATGTGTGTGTATGTATACCTAGAAAACACCCAAAAGAATATGTAAGAAAATGTTAAATACATAGTGTTCATCTCTGGATTATAAAATTATGAGTGGTCTTTATTTTTTTCCTTAAACTTTTCTGAATTTTCAGAATTTTTTGTAGTATATCTATAGCAGTTTTAAACATCGACACACATCCTTTGTGTATGCCATATATGTTTATACAGTGTTCACATATTTGTTGCTGAAAGTCCTCTTCCATTCCTTAGAAAAAAAGATGAAAAAGAATAGTAGAATTTTGGTGAATGATCTATCAATACTATCCTAGGCTTTAATGCAAACCAAAATCTGAAAAGCACTTAAGGTGAGTCCTGGATAAAATTGGCCGAATTAGTGCCCATTTGTTGCCATAATAAGTACTCAGTGAGAAAAGTGACTTTGTACATAATTGAAGAACATTGCCTGAGCATCCTCAGTAAGGCACAGAGCATCTAGGTCCTCTCCATTGTTGATCAAGTGTGTGGAAACCTTATTCTAAATCCCTGTCAGTCCAGACCTCAGTATTCTCTTCTGTAAGATGAGAAAAATGTCCTGTGTACTAAGATACTTTTTAGGATTAAGAGTACATGAGTTATCAAAATAGATTGTCTTTAAAACACACAACTTTTGAATTTTTTATAAACATTATAAAAAATTTTTTGTTAGAAAAATTGTACTAAGATTTGCTGATGAATGGAATTAGCTACTTAGAGAAAAATAAAAATTGCATTCTTATCTCACACCAAATAAATTCCATCTGAATTAAATAGTTGAAACTATAAGATATAATAATTTTTTAAAATAAGAATAATTAATATTAATATGTTCACAAGCTAGAAAAGAACTTTTTCACAGCTGTTGGTGTAGGAAAAAAGAGAAAGAAAAGGACTTTGTAAGCCAAAAAGTGGAGGGAAGAGGACACAAGAAAAGAAACCAATACACATATTTTGGTTTTGATATTTATGCTGTGCATATTTATACATAAATATACTTTTAATATATAAAAGTTTTAAATGTCTATTCCCAAAACTACCAAGAGTAAATCTAAAAGGCAAATGACAAGTAATAAGAAACATTGGCAAAGAAAAAAGATAAAAGCATCAATATGCTTAATAGAAAGTATTCTTCAAGACAATAAAGTACTCAAAAAGAAAATAAGCTAAGGGCTTTAACATTTAACAAAAGAAGTATGTAGAGTTACATGAAAAAGATGTTCAACCTTATTAGTATATCAAGTAAATACTAAATAAAATATTTAAGTAATATTTTCCCCCTCAAGTTGGTGCTGCTGAAGGAGTGTAAATTGGTATAGCTTTTCCTGAAAGAAATTGGCCCACTATATCAAACTTTTAAAAATATTCAAGCTTTTCAAGTATTCAGACTTTTAAAAATATTTCTAAGTATTTAAAAACACTTAGACTGTATGCAGTGGCTCATGCCTGTAATCCCAGAACTTTGGGAGGCCGAGGCGGGAGGATTGCTTGAGCCCAGGAGTTTGATACCAGAATGGGCAACATAGTGAGACCTCATCTCTACAAAAATAAAAATAATTTGCTGGGTGTGATGATGTGTGCCTGTAGTGCCAGCTACTTGGAGACTGAGGCAGAAGGATGGCCTGAGCCCAGGAGGTTGGGGCTGCAGTGAGCCATGATGATGTCGCTGCTCTCCAGCCTGATTGACAGGGTGAGGACCTGATTCAAAAATATAAAATTCACATACTTAGGCCAAAGTTTTTATATGGCAAAAAAAAAATTATTTAAAAAAAGGATCAGGAATATGGTGTTCATTTCAAGCACAAGGTTAGTCAAGTTATTTCTAATGATATTTAGAGTAAATATAAAACAGCATGAGGAAATGTTCATGACGTAATTAGAAAAAACAATCAGGATGTGAGGGTGATCTGGCTATAACATCTGTCATCCCATTGATCTCCAGTGTTGACTCAGCTGATTTGGCTGGCTAGGCAGGTGTCCCCTTCCTCCCTCACCATTCTGTGTGCATTCCTCCTGAAACTGAGTGCTCAAAGAGGATAACTGCCCCCACTAGAGAAGGACTATTCTTTGGTCAAGTAGCTATGCTCTCCTGCTATAACCTCCAAACAAGTTCTCAAGAAAAAAGAAGCAAAATCATATATGTATAATGACCCCACTATTATATATGCATAAGAGAAAATGTATTAAATTTTCTGCAATGAGTATATGTTACTGGAATGACTGAGCTGCAAGGAAGTGCATCGTGCACTCAGATTTAAAAAGAATCAATAACAGACAATGAAGTCATATTACTTTTATATAAAAATTTTACCTTCTATTTAGCATCTAGAAAGTTGTAGTTTCTTAATACCATGGAAGAATTTCCATATTTTATTTGCACTTTTAGACAATTGGTTTATTTGTTCTACATGAGCCAGAGTAATTGCATATGGCCACTATTTTATGGGATTGAACTTCGGCTCCCAGGCTCTTTGACTCATTTTGAACCATGCAAGAGTCAACATTCAGATCACTTCACATAGCTGCTCAGTCACTGTATTCAGCTAGGCAGAGAAGAGAAATTGCTGTTCCACCAGTAAACATTGTGGGGGGGTTATTTTTCCTTTAATAATCAGGCTAGAAAATGGAATTATTTATTTGAAGAATCTTTGTTCTATAAAAATTAGAAATGTCTTTAGAAATGAGACTTACTTTTCACTAGAATTCAGAAAGGTAGCAAAGATGCAGAAAGAACCTTAAGAACCCATTGCATTGCTTGCCATTTTAGATGGATAACATTCAGTACCACATCATACAGAGAGCAAATAGTGGGGAACTTTCATTTTTTCAAATGCCTGTCTTTTATTGAAATTGAAAACTTTGAAAAGAGGACTTAGCTATAGCCTTACTGTAAAACAAGGTTGTTAATTTGATTTGGGGATTTTCTTTTGACACCGTTTATATTTATATGTTTTTCAGCTTTTTAGAATAAGAGGGAAAGTGGATGTTTGCTAGTAATTGAGAGTAGAAGCTTCTTTAACCAAATATTTGTAAATTCCAAAGAAATTGCCACTGGTTATTTCTAGAGTCAAAGTGAGTACTAGTTAGATATTATTGATTTACTTTTTAGAGTTTTAACTGGTTCTTAGGAAGGACAGGCAGTATTTGTTAGATTTTGGAGTAATAAGTACCTATGGATAATTTAAATTCTTGTGGTCCTGACAAAAGAATTTAGGTATTGTTTAAGTTGGCAAGAGATGATATGTATACTTTTTCTCTTGTGTAAATAATAGGCAGGGAAACTGAGTGGCAATTTACAATTTAACAGGATTTATTTCATCATGTGGTAGCCAACCTTTTTACAGGCGAATTCACATCTATTATGACTTCCTGTTTGGGGACACTGAACGTTTTCTAGAAGCTGTTTTTTAAGAAATCCCTTTTGAGAGTTTTTGAGAAATCCTTTTATTATTTCTATTTTTGGTGCTTTTGGACCAATTAAGGCATATGCGAGCTGAGGTGAAATAAGAACTTAAATCTCTCTGTTTAAGTACATGTAGTTGACTTCTAATTTATTAAAATACTCTTCATTTACACTGTAATTTTGCATGAACGTTTTATGGTATTAGTTGCAGCATAGACAGCTATACACATGAAGAGTGAATTGGAAACTCCAGGGAATGGCAAATTCTTCATAATACTTGCTAGGTACTTGAAAGGGTTATGTGGGCATAAATGGGATTTGGAAATGAATGTTGCAGGATTCTTTCACATCTCCTAAAAACAATATAATTGTGACTTAGGTTTTATTCTTTTGTTCAAGTCTGGGTGTTCATAGTTGACGAATACATCCAAGAATACGTCCCACCTAATACTTATATTTTGTTTTCTCATGCCAAGGCTGAGAGCTGTCCTTTTCGTTCCCAGGAAAGGGCAGCCATCTAGTGTGGAGTGTGTGAATATCTCTAATAGCTGCTTTATAGTGCTCATAAAAACTAATTTTCATTCTTTCTATATATGCCCCTTGGTTTTCATTATGAGTAGTAGCTGGTTCTTATTGCTGATAAATACTTCAAACATATTAAACACAGTAAGAAATGATAAGTAGGGTGTTTAGCAGGTGTTTTTCATTTCTCAGATACAGGTAGCAATTTGCACATTTAGGTTTTGTTTTTGTTTTTTTTGAGTTGGAGTCTCACTGTCTCCCAGACTGGAGTGCAGTGGCCGCTGTCGGCCACTGCAGCCTCGACCTGCTGGGCTCCGGCGATCCTTCTGCCTCAGCCTTCCAAGTAGCTGGAACTACAGGCACGCACTACCACGCCCAGCTAATTTTTTGATTTATTGTAGAGATGAGGTCTCGCCAAGTTGCCCAGGCGGGTCTCGAACCCATGGGCTCAGGCAGTCCACTCACCTCAGCCTCCCCAAAGGCGTGGGATTACAGGCCGAGCCACCAAGCCTGGCTCACATTTAGGTTTTAATGATTCCTTTTCCCTCCCTGTTTCTCTTGTTACAGTAATATCCGCTGTTTCAAGATTGATCAGTCTTCGGCAGGAGATGCATCTGGAGCCCCCGCTGTATGGAGTCATGGGTACACCGAAGCTTCGGGGGTGAAAAACAAGTAAGTAGGATGAAACTTTGGAGCAAGAAATGCCCTTTGCCTGCCCCACTTCATTAGTGGGGTAGAAAGAAAGTACTGTAACACACACTTTTCTCATGTAAAATTTCTTGGAATATGTTTCCCCAAAGTGAGGCTCCCTCATGACTTATGTTTGAACATTAAGCTAAGGCCCTGCTTGGCATCGCATACTCTTCTTTTGTGAAAGAGGTTGCTAGGATACAGTGTAACTGACACATTATATCTATGTAAGACTCCAGTGTTTGGAGAAGGCCTAAGTATTGAAATGTATCCCTGTTCCTTTGAAAAGCCCCTTTATCTTTCTCTCAAGCCTGTTTACCCCAGGAAAACAGGGATAGTATTAAAGGAGAAGTAGCTTTGATTGTCCATATTCAAGATCACTTGTGTTATTGACTATGGAGCTATTTTTACAATCTAAATTAGCTTGGCAGGAGTTTGATGTCCAGTCTCTGTAATGTCATCTGCTTGTGTTGCCTCCAGGACTTGTCCATCTTAATTTCTTTCTTTCCTATTTTCACCAACCTTCCTTCTCTTAGATACAAATGTTGGTTTTCCTGAGAAATGTAATCAAGCTCTTCATGCTTGGCTTGCATTGTATGAAGAGGTGCTAATAATTAGTACTAGAAAGGTAAATAATCCTATAAATTAGAACCCACATAATGTAATTAGCAGAGGTATATGAACACAAAGTATTGACAGTAGAGGAAGAACAGAAAGTGGAGGAAGATCTAATAATAGCTAACATTAGTATTCAACCCTGGGTGTGCATTAAATCACTCAAGTAAGGAAATTTTTAAAAAATTCCCCAAGCTAGGCCCATTAAATCAGAATGTTTTAAAATCTGCCCAGATGATTCTAATATGTATCTAAGAGTGAGAACCACTGACTAGCTGAATATCCTTCATAGAAAATAAAAGAATTATTGCTCTAATTTTAACTGCTTTTCTTTGGGATAGAAAACAGCCTCAACTCAAGTTCTAGATCTGACATATTGATCCTTTCTTCTTTCCTAAGGTGTCATTTGGCCTGTGCCATCTAAAGAGGTTGTCCCCATTTCAACACCTGTTCTAGTTGCTTGTAAAGGCAGAAAAACCAGAGGAGACACGCCTCAATTCTGCCAGGGCTCTAGTTATTGTCTTACTTTTATGTACTTTGCGCTGCATATCATTGTATTGATGCAGAAAGGGAATTAGTGTATTCTTTAGAGCATGCAAACTTTCTTTCAGGAGATAATAACTTTTTAGATCCAAGGACCTTGTGTCCAGCTTACAAACACCAGTTATGTGAAACTGCTTTCTAATTCCAAAACATTGATGTGAAACCTAGACTGGTTTTTAAGTATCTCTGGATATTAAAATTTGTTATCTACTCATATATATTAATGAAGCAAGTAACCAGTTAGACCTGGTTTTGGTTTTTTTTTTTTTTCTTTTTTTTTGAGCTGGAGTCCATCGTCCAGGCTGGAGTGCAGTGGCATGCTCATGGCCACCCCAGCATCGACCTGCTGGGCTCTGGCAACCCTTCCGCCTCAGCCTTCCAAGTAACCGGAACTACAGGTGTACACAATCACAACCGGCTAATTTCTCATTTGTTGTAGAGATGACGTCTCACCAAGTTGCCAAGGCTGGTCTTGAACCCGTGGGCTCAAGCAGAGTACTTGCCTCGGCCTCCCAAAGTGCTGGGATTACAGGCTGAGCCACAGAGCCTGGTCTAGAAGAGTTTTTTAAAAAAGTAATTGTGGAAGGGTGCATTATAAAAAAACAAAACAGAAACAAAAAACAGGCCAGGCACCGTGGCTCAAGCCTGTAATCCCAGCACCATGGGAGGCCAAGGGGAAAGGATTGCCTAGCCTGCAGATTGGATTCGAGACCAACCTGGGCAACATGGTGAGACCTCATCTTGTTTTTTGTTTTGTTTTGTTTTTTGAGTCGGAGTCTCACTCTGCCACCCAGACTGGAGTGCAGTGGCCGCTCCCGGCCACCACAGCCTCGACCTGCTGGGCTCCTGCGATCCTTCCGCCTCAGCCTTCCAAGTAGCCAGAATTACAGGAATGCGCTACCACGCCTGGCTGATTTTTTGATTTATTGTAGAGATGAGGTCTCGCTGCCCAGGCGGGTCTCGAACCCGCGGGCTCAGGCAATCTACTCACCTCAGCCTCCCAAAGGTGCAGGATTACAGGCTGAGCCACCGAGCCCAGCTGTGAGACCTCATCTTTATGGAAAAAGAAAAAAAAAGGTGTATCAAGGTGATTAAGAAATAGAAAATGAACAGCATTTCCATAGTTCCAGGCCGCCCTTGGCCCCAACTTTATTTTTTCCCTTGCTTTTTTTATCCTTTGGTTTTGCCAGTAGAAGTTTCTAGAGTGGTTTTTTTTTTTTGGTGTTTTGTTGTTGCTGTTTTTCTTTTGTTTGTTTGCATTGTGGATGAAGTGGCATTTAAACAGGGAGCTTACTGCTTGCCATCTTGAAGGAAGGGGAAAACTGTAGTTGTCCCTGCCTGCAAATCGCAATAGATGTCTATTCTCTTCTCTCCTTCCCTCCTTTTCCCTGGAGTACAGTGTTGCCTCCTTGTCAGGTCATTTCAGATCCTTTGGGGAGACCTAAGCAGAGAGCTGCAATTGGATAACTTAGGCTCTTCTTTAGACTACACAACAAACAAGAAACTTCAGAAAAGAAATTCTAAGAGTAATCACTACTGTACTTTTTTTTTTTTTGAGTTGGAGTCTCACTCTGTCGCCCAGACTGGAGTACAGTGGCC